TTCTGACATTCGTTTGAATACCGAAGTATCGCAAGATACCTCCAACTATAAAGACGCACCTACCGAAGGCATCCGTCGCGTCTTGGAGATCGTAACGGGAGAAAAGATCCCCAGAGACTCTGTCCTCGAAACAGAGAAAATAGGCAAGTCCTTTCCGAACCACGATCTCTCTACAATTACTTATCCGCCCCAGATTACATCCGCCTATCCACTACTGTCGCCACTAACGCTCTCCTCGAACGAAAGGGACACAAACACGCTCTTCTAATTACCAAGGGATTCAAAGACCTCCTGCTCATAGGGAACCAATCCCGTCCCAAGATATTCGACCTCAACATCCGTCGTCCCCCGCCTTTGTATTCGACGGTTACGGAGGTGGATGAACGAGTGACGTTGGTGGGGTATACTTCTGATCCTAAAGCAGAGGAACACGCGGTTCAGTTTGATGACGAGGGGAGAGTTGTGAGGGGGTATCGTGGAAAAGGATGGGATGGTGTTACGGATGCGGAGGGACCTGGGAGGATTGTAAGAGGGTTATCTGGAGAGGCTGTGAGGATCCTCAAGATGCCAGGTTTGTATCCTTCAATACTTTGATTCTCGTGACAATTTTTTTAATATAACAACAGACCTCGAAGCCGTCGAAAGAGACCTAAAGAAACTGTACGAAGAAGGCTACCGCTCCCTCGCCATCGTCCTCGTGCACTCCTACACCTACCCAGAGCACGAGCGCGCCATCGGCAACCTAGCACGCTCCCTCGGGTTCACCCACGTATCAGAATCAGCACAACTCCTCCCCATGATCAAGATGGTTCCGCGTGGTGTGTCCTCAACAGCCGACGCCTACCTCACGCCTATCCTGCGTGAATACCTGGACGGGTTCTTCAACGGTTTCGATGCGAAACTGAAAGATGGACGGTTGATGAGCCCAAGGGTGGAATTTATGGGTAGTGATGGTGGTTTGTTGGACTTGAACAATTTTTCAGGGTTGAAAAGTATTTTGAGTGGTCCTGCGGGCGGTGTTGTGGGATATGCGTTGACGAGTTGGGATGAAGAGAGGAAAATCCCTATTATTGGGTACGGGCACCATCTTTCTTCGTGTAGTATCCTTGATTTGACTTACGTTCTGACAGATTGGACGTCGGTGGCACATCAACAGACGTCTCGCGCTTCGACGGTCGATACGAAGTAGTCTACGAAACGACTACAGCAGGGGTGACCATCCAATCTCCCCAGCTAGACATCAACACCGTAGCAGCTGGGGGCGGGTCATGCCTTACGTTCCGAAATGGGCTCTTCCTCGCCGGACCAGAGAGTGCTGGAGCCCAGCCTGGGCCGGTTTGTTACCGGTACGTACTTCTACCAAGTTTTTTTTGGACCAGATTGACTGACACGTTGAGTAGGAAGGGAGGTCCGCTGGCAGTGACGGATGCGAACCTCCTTCTCGGCCGACTTATTCCTGATTATTTCCCCAAGATATTTGGAAAGTCGGAGAAGGAGCCCTTGGATGTCGAGGCTTCAAGGGTAGCGTTTGAGAAGGTTGCGAAGGAGATTAATGATAGTCATCCGGAATTGGTTTTGTCGCTTGATGAGATCCTTTATGGGTTTGTCTTCTTTTCTGTCCTCTGCTCGACGCAACCTAAATGCCAATAGGTTCATCAAAGTCGCAAACGAGACCATGTGTCGCCCCATTCGTGCACTGACGGAAGCTAGAGGATACGCGACGTCTAAGCATACGTGCGTCCTTCTCTCACAGTTCCTTCGCTGTCTTGACAACAAAAAGACCTACAGCCTCGCAAGTTTCGGTGGGGCAGGCGGCTAACACGCCTGCGAAATCGCAACTCCCCTCGGGATCAAAACGATCCTCATCCACCGATACAGCGCCATTCTCTCCGCGTATGGATTGGCCCTTGCAGACCGGTTCGTCCCTTCCGTCCCCTCCTCCCTACCTCACATCAACTCTGTTCGTATCCAGCGCATACGAAGTCCAAGAACCCTGCTCGACATTCTATACCCCGCAGAACAAACCAACCCTCCTCACCCGGCTCGACAGGATGACAGCCGACGTGCGCAGCGAGCTCCGCAAGCAGGGCTTCGAGGAACATAGGATCCATGTGGAAAGGATGTTGAATATGAGGTTTGAGGGTACCGATACGGCGCTTATGGTTCTACCACATGCAGAGGACGGTGACGGGGATGAAGATTTCGAGAGCGCTTTTAAGAGGGTGTATAAAGCTGAATTTGGGTTCTTGTTGGAGAAGAGTGTTATTGTTATGATATCAAGGTCGATCCTCTTTTCCCCCTATGTTTCCAATTCACTGGCTGATGATGCACGATTCT